TTAAGAGTTGAGTTTTTCAAACTATTAATGAAGTTTTATATCGAGGAGGATATATATCTCAAGAAATAGATACAAATTGAACTTCACCTATATGAACTTCGAGATGGTGTCATCTCAAAGTGAGAGTAGGAATTTCTCTCATGAAAATTTCATGAAAACAGGAAAATTATATGACCATAAATAGTGCTAGACGAGATATGTAGGCGAGATATCTAACTTTATTAACATTTTTTTGTTTCCTTTTATTTCTGGAATTGATCTTGTCATTATTAGAACAAGTGGGATTGTTATAAATTATTAACAATAATTAATAATTATGAGTGTGTTCCAAAATGCCAAGAAAAATATGCTAGTGAAGTTGTTCTTTGAACTCGAAAAGGCAGCAATTCATGAAGTGTTGCAGAATGAAAACATGCAACTCTTGAAATATGTTATTGTAGGTCAGACATTGTAACTTTTGGTAAAAGGATATTGTTTCACCAAAGGTCGCTACTTTGTGAAACAATCCAAATATCGCCTATAAATACTTCATTCTGGATTCAAAAATTCAATAACAAAAACATACATCATCTTCACTAAAACTCTATACACTCTTTGCTACATTCGATTTTTCGTTGGTCTTGCGCAAACTCGATAAAATGTTGAATTATCCTGTGTATTCCTGCGTAGAAATTCTAAGGCAATTTGAGAGTGTTGAAAGACTATAAGGAAAGTGATTCGCTCACGATTCTAGCATCGATCCATTTGATTTAAATGAATTTTCCTAACAGTAATGAGCTCGATGACAGGCGTATCTTTGTAGAACCTAAATTGAAGTGACGATATCGCACCATTAAAGTAAACAAAAGCAAGGTGAGGATATGTTTGTGTCATATCTGATTTGTGGTGTGTGATATCTGATTTATGGTGTATGATGTTGAATAAATGGTTTAGACACCCTATTTATAGAAGTTTTGGAGAAATTTGGTTCTAAGAGTTCTTATCCTGTGTCAGGGCATGTTTCGGAAATACACTTCTGAAACAACTCCTTATATTTTAACAAAGTAAGGTGTTTTCGGAAGTGCAACTCCGAAACATTCCTTGATTTTTTTGTTAATAATTCAAAAATGCATTTCCGAATTATGCAGAAGAATTATATGTTGGCGGAATTAATAGTATTCAAAGATTAATTCACAATTTAATCGATTAAAGTATTAATCGGTAAAATTTATAATTCGGTAAAATGTATAAATTGGTAAAATATTGAATAGATATATTATATATGTATTGAATCATGTATATACATTTCAAAATGAATCGATTACATTGTGCACGATATTACATATAAAAAATGATTTGATTACATTCTAAAATGTATCGAACGAATGACTACCGCTTAAATCTAAAATCGATTATTTCTTCGACTTCTCCCTATTTGATTCTCTTTCAAGTTCCGACAACTTGGTGAATTCGGCCATCATTTCTAAAAAATGATCCGACCAAGTTTTCGCCTCTTTTGCGGAATGTGTCGTACATTGCACTGACGTAGCCGAAATAGGACACCCAGACTTCAAAAATACTTGAAAAAAATGGAGCGATCTAAGATACCCAATACAGATGATACAGCCGAATGGGTCTTGGGGTGGGCGACTTTGTAGAGGAAAAAATGTCTCAGAAAAAACATATCTCGTGAGATCTACACACACCCTCTCATATGCACTTGCTATAAGATGACTCATTTCAGGGAAACACATCCACTTCTCAGGTGGTGTGCAACTCGTAAGAGTTGGAACAAGAGCGTTATGAATTTTATTGAAACGTTCCCTATCCCTGTATAGTCGTAAGTAATTTTCCCTATGCACCGTCAATTTCGAAATAAGTGTTTGTCGTACAATAACGTGATTCTCATCACCTTTACCAAGTAAAATGGAAACAAATCGAAACCCGCAATTAATGTTCCCCCACATCTACAATCCTTTCAATGTATTTATGCATAAAAACCAGCATCTCATCAATGTGTATAGTCAGCGGTGAAATTGATGGTTTTTTGATCGGAGGTGTATGAGGTGGTTTGGTAATGTGAGGTCCTTTGAAAATACTTTTTTTTTTGCGATTTCGGGGTTGGAGAATCTGGAAAATGTGAATCAACAACTTCATGGTAAGACAATGACCACTTTGTTGAATTGTCATCTTGTGTACTTTTACACTTTTTTGGTGCACCTTTGGTTTTTACCGGTTGTAAATGAGGTTTCATATCAATGGCTTTTGGATAGACAATTTTCCTCAGTTGTTCTTTAATATGTAATCACACCGTGTCATCCCTTTTGAAAATCTATCCATCATCACTTCCAACTCGGTTGCAATGGTAATACTTGATGTAGTGTCTTTCGTAGAACCGTAGTCATCAAACCAGAGTCTTTTCTAATGATCGGCGACCTCGTCCATATGTATGGGGGAATGTAGCTTCATATTTTTAGATATGAGAGAAGCACATGGAAGTCAGTAGATTTTCCTAATTGTATATCCACACCTTAAACTATCCGCCCCATTGTCTCGACACGTTTCTCTTCATAAAAAATAAAATTCAATCCCGCTCGAGAAATGTTAAGATTCAACTGTGAGTAAAGAGTGTTATCTTAAAATGACGTTCTACGACAATTATGCCCCGATCAAAATTTGTTTGAATTTTATTATGTTGGTTTTGGAGCATTTGGTTCACTGTGTCCCATTCTCTACATAAGTCTCCCTTGCTATCACCCAGACATTTCTTCAACGCCGTATGCCATATTCAGCTCTATTAGTTGTAGTGTTTCCCAAGTGTCGAACCCGGTCCGTCCAAGCACACACCACTTTCTCTTTCACCGAATCAATAATAATAGTTTCAACATATTTTAGAAATTTAGAAACTTGACACACAAACTTCTAAAATGTACCACATTTTTAGCATACAACTCTTGCGTAGAAGAATTCAATATATTTTCCCATGCATCCATTATATTCTCCACCACAACACTAGCTTTGGTAATGCTTCTGTCTTCACCCTTAAAGTCTTTGGTGCCAACCGCCGGTTTGATCTTAGCTCTCACATTTTTTATTATATGACGCCGATAAAGTAATGCATATGATATAGGAAATACACTTTCAACCATATTCATAAAGGCGTTATCTCGGTCGGTTACAATGACACTAGGAAACTTTTATGGATCCTTCAACAAAGTCTTGCATATATCCAACGCCCATATAACATTATCTTTTTTCTCACATTCGAGGAATACAAATCCAACTGAAATTTTTTTTATCCGTAGAAGTGACACCAACAATTTTTAGAAGTGAAAACTTATACTTGTTAGTCTTGTATGTTGAATCAATTATAAGGACAGTCAAAAATGTGTTGAACAACTTGATGCTTTCCGGGTGAGTCCAAAAAATGTCACAGACACTTACTTTATCATCACATAATATGTACCTTGAAATATAGTGGTTATCATCCAAAAGTTTCAACAACTGTTGTATTTCAGACCTTGGACCTCTACTCGTAATAATCTGTTTATAACATTCATTGTATATCTGCTTGATATTTGAAATATTTTGTGGTCGTTTTTGTTTCAAATCTGCAAGTTTGTTTCTCGGCACAACTTTGATTATCGATATTTCAAAAATAATTTCCTTCTCCTCCGGCTTAAGTCAACCTACAATTGGATGACCTTGTAGCTTGGTGTCTAACACATGATTATGTTTGTAAAAAATGACAGAAAACCGCCACGTATCATCCATCCTACATGATATGCGCAATTTGAAAGGAGACTCACATTTTCTCGATCCAGTGTCATCATGTTTTAAACTTCGAACTTTTGGAACATATTTTCACTTCTCTTGCATCTCATGGTTACAAATGCTTGCCTTCTACTAGTGCCATTGTCGGACCTTCCAATCACAATACTAAAGCCGAGTTTGCTAGCTTTCATTCTGACACAATCAAGCAAATGTTGCCGATTATTAAAAACTTGATCATTTGCAAATTGGTGTCCAACATCTATGTCGACAACAATCGATTTAACATCGTTCTTCACCTCATCCGACTTAGCATTATTATTCACGTTATTCGAAGCATCCTTGGGAAACATGTCAGGGTGTACCATATCTAACACTGACAAAAATATATAAATTGGTAATAATTTTGTTTCTGTAACAGGCAAAATTTCGGAAATGTATTTCCGAAATATGTTAGGAGGATTTGGGAAATACATTTCTGAAGTGACACATTTTTCATCTAAAAAATCAGCATCAATGCAAGAAATTGAGAGATGAAATGAAAAATGTTTACCTTAAATTACAACTTTCTATGCTCTCTCTGACATGATAAAATACTTGAAACTTCTTTTGGAGACGAAAAATTGATTGAGTTTTTGGTGAGGTTTTGAGTTTTGTGAAGCAAATGAACACAATGAAATAGTTCATGCAACATGTGATATAAGTCACATATTTTCAGAAATACATCTCCGAAAATATACTTGAATGTTTAAGTTTAACGTTTAACTAAAAACAAGGTATTTTCGGAAGTGCATTTTCGAATTTACCCTAAAATTTGACATTGAATGCTTTCGAAGATACATCTTCAAAACACCTTAACTTGAAATACGATTAGAAATACATTTCGAAAGAGCATTTTCCGTTTTGAGAGGTGTCCAAAGAAATTTCTTTGATTTTATTCTCCACTTTTCCAAAAGTTGTTTTAGTTTCCTTTATTGACAAAATCTCTCCAAATGGAAAAATCTCAGCAGTCCGATTTATCAAACGGTACAAAACGAATGAAAGTCGATTCAACTTTCCCACGCATACATTAGACAATCCAGACCCAACAAAACCAAGACAACATTCTGAATTAAGTAGAAAGTTTCTACTAGAAACTCATTTGACTTTAGGTTATTCAACCAAACTTTTTGAAGCGGGAAGAAAGATTGAGACTATCCATCTTCTTCTTCTACAAGCTCAACCTCTCACACTCTTTTCTCCCACCATCCATGGCTCGAAACAAGGTTCCATTTTCTCTTCCTTTTCTAACACCATTACTCCATTCTTCTAGGTTTAGGGTTTTACTTGTATTTTTTTTCTTTTCATTTTCCCCTTTCTGAACGGTTAAATTTGAAATTAATACAGGAAGTTTTGCTTTTGCTGCTTGATGTTGGACCATCCATGCATTCTGTTCTTCCTGAAGTCGAGAAAGTCTGTTCCATGCTTGTACAGAAGAAGGTATTCATAGTCCCTTTTTACACCGATAGTGTACTCTTATTGTTCCATTTTTGTGATTAGGTTTGGTTAGAAAGAGCTTCAATAACTAACTTGGTTCTTTGATTATTTTTGTTTGTGTTTGTATAATAACATGCAGATGATCTATAACAAGTATGATGAAGTGGGAATTGTCTTATTTGGAACTCAAGGTATTTACTCTAATCTTTATGATGGTGCACTCTGTATCACATACACCTCTGAAAAAAAGTGTGTTAGGGTCGGTGTCCGGTGTCTGAAATTGACACTGACGGTTGTGATTATGTTTAATTTATTTATTTTTTCAAATTATTACCGGTGTTGACGTGTTAGTGTTAGTGTTGGTGTTGATGTAATGTTTCCGGTGTATGTGTTTCTTAGATGATGCATATATGCATTGCATTTTTGTTGACTTGGTTGGTGTTTATTTGATGTTTCTCATTCTCATTCCAAGTCGAATATATTGATTTTAGAAGCCTGGTAATGTATTAGAATGATAACAATTATAAAAAATGTTCAGTTTTTGTAAAATAACAGCCATGGTGGATTGTAATGGAAGAATTTTTTCAATTTCCTAGCTTGGAGTCGCGATCCTTAAATCAAACGGCAAGATGCTTTTCCTCTCTTAAGTCTCAAACCCTATTATATAGGTTGTGATATCTAACTCTTTCTTATTACCATGGGATACTAACTAACTAGTGGTAACTAACTGTTGGGTTATTTGACAACATACTTCCCATGTGTGGTGCAAGTGCAACTAGGATGGAATGGTGCTACGGAAACCCACTATGTTTACATCTTAGCTGTAGAGGTCTCCTTAGAGAAATATTGTTGAGAGTACCACACCAGCTCAATATATGGCCTAAGTAATTCTTATAAAGGCTTGACGGTGTTCATCTCACAAGTTGCTATTGTGAGGTTGAGTTAGATCCTAAATTCAAATTTTAAGATGCTATCCAAATTGGGGCCTAACCTAGATTTATTATAAAGCCATGATCTTTGTTAATCCACTTGAATTTGTCCACATTCTAGATGTTCAGCCTTGGGTGCAAGCGTGTGTATTGAGATTATTGTTGTTTCACATTCATTAGTCCACGCTTCAGATGTTCGTCCTGAGCATCGTGTTGAAGTCCCCCATTAGAGATATGAACTAAGTAGTGCTTATAAGTTAGGCCACATGCTTAAATTCTACATAGAACAATTAACTATAGTTAGTTAGTTAGGTTAGTTGGAAGAGAGGAAAATATAAAGGTTGGAGGGAAATGAGAGGGGGTATCAATGAATTGGGATCTGATTTGGGGAGAGTTTAGGTTTCTCGGAAATCTTGGGAAATCTTTGATTCTTCTGTCTTCATTAATCTTTGGCCTTTTCTTATTCTGCCATACATCAGTACATGATTAGGAATCAGAGTGTTAAGAATTTTGATCCGGTTTCTATTAATCAAGATTTTCCATTTTGATTTACTTTTTCTATTGTAACCAATTACCATTTCTCAAGACTAAGGAAAATTTTATCACGTGACTGTTAAGTTGTAATATTGTATAGGACAAAGTGTTGGGCTGTGCTAGGCCAACAAGAAAATAAGTTCAACTCTGTAGAGATGAGGATGTCAAGATAGGTGAGTTGATGTACAAAGCAAGATAGACTTAAAAGTGAATATATTAAAGAAAATGTTGAGGTAGCATGTACTTTGGGCATGTGTAGAGACAACATGTAGAAGTAGAAACCTTTGTAACAAAAAAAGATTAGATGGATGGTTGTCTAGTAACAAGAGGGAAACCAAGTAAAAATATTGTTTCTAACCATTGAGAAAGATTTAGATTTAAATGCTTTTTCTTTAGACATGATATATAATAGTAGGATACTATGACTCCGTTTGATCATTGCAGTTGACCCCTCCTGTTAGGAAAAGACTTCTGTAGTTTTGTTGTTTTTGCATCTCTTACCAATGTTTGTGACTACTTTTTCAGACACGGATAACGAATTAACTACAGAAGTGGGTGGATATCAGCATGTTGTAGTTTTGAGAAATACTAAAGTTGTAGATGGAGACATTGTTGAGGCTTTACAACAACTTCCTCGAGGAACAAATGGTGGTGATTGTATCCTCAAATTTCTACACGCCCTCTCATATTGCATATCTTATTCAATGAAAAAAAAGCTTTCGAACTTTGACCCACTTCAAAATGCCATGCTACTAACTTATGGAAAATAACCAGACCATATGTCACTAAAAGTATGTCTTTTGACAAATTATTTTCGTTTAGATTATAATGTTTCATAGATTTGTGTTTCTGTTTCCTACGGTGTATTCTCACTGCCATTTATTTCATGTTTTAATGTTTAATCCCTAAATAAATTTTGTCCAATTTTAGGCCCTATTTAATAAACAACCCAAAATATGAGTGTTTTTAGTCTTATAAAAGTTAAATTGGAACTAAAGTTGGACAAAATTTATGTTAGGATTAAACTTGAAAATTGTGAATGTTATAGGGACTAAAAACATATTAAACCCTAAATTATAAGTGATGTATTAAATTATTAATTATTTGCTTTCCCAAGAAGTCAATCCTTTCCTCATGCAAAGGAATGTGATTAGCTTTGTTTTACTCCTTTCTGGTTACCTTTGACTTCGATATTAGTTCTTGATGCTGTCATTGTTGCCATGGATATGTTAATAAAAAAGTTTGGAGACACTAACAAGGGAAAGAAACGTATTTGCCTTATTACAAATGCACAATCTCCAATAAAAGATCCTTATGAAGGATCAAAAGAAGAGCAAGTTACCACAATTGCTAAACAGATGACAGCTCATGGTATGAAAATGGAAAGTATAATTGTGAGAGGAAAGCTTAGTCAAGATGAAAACAAGGAGATAATGGATGAGAATGATCGTCTTTTAAATATTTTTTCTAAGGAAACATCGACAAGATTGTTGTATGTGGAGGATCCAATTTCTTTGTTTGGTGCTCTTAAAACTCGAAATATAACTCCAGTTACTGTTTTCAGAGGGGATCTTGAATTCAGCCCAAAACTGAGGATTAAGGTGAGGTTTGCAATATCTGTAGATTCAATCTCTAGGTCCATCATGAATGCCTCATTTAAGTGTCATTATTTTTATTTTCCTACAATCTGTCATATATATCATAAATCGTCTTTTAGTTGGCATGTTTTTCTGTTCATGATTTTCAAATGCTCCTAGTTTGAGTCGTCTTTAAAGTTTAAACAGTATGAACCTCTATATTGAATAATTTACAGCATATATTAAGTGTTGTTTAAACTTCATCTCAATGTTTAACATCATATTATGATTGCATTTTAAGTAAAGCGATGATTCTGATACTCAGGTAATGGTATACAAGAAAACACAAGAAGAGAAATTTCCAACTCTGAAGAAATACTCTGATAAGGCTCCTCAATCTGATAAATTCGCAACACATGAAGTCAAAATAGATTATGAGTACAAGAGTTCCGATGATCCAGATATAGTTATTCCTCCGGACCAAAGAATTAAAGGTTATCGATATGGGCCTCAAATTGTTCCTATATCCACTGCTGAGTGGGAGGCTGTAAAGTTCAAACCGGAAAAGGGTGTGAAGCTTTTGGGGTTTACTGATTCTTCCAATGTATTGAGGTAAGATTGCATATGCTTTAATAAAATATATTTGATTCAGTTTTCCTAAAACCTAAGGGAGATTTCCTATCTCATAATTTCACTTTCCTTTTTGTTTTAAAATCTCCATTGAAGACACCAATACATGAAAGAGGCCTATGTGTTTATAGCTGATACTGGAAATGCAAAAGCTGGCCTTGCAGTTTCTGCCCTAGCAAGGGCTATGAAGGAAATGAATAAGGTGGCAATTTTACGGTGCGTTTGGAGAAATGGACAAGGGAGTGTTGTCATTGGGGTTTTGACTCCCAATGTATCTGATAGAGAAAATATTGTAGGTTCTTTTTTTGTCTCAGGTTCTTGTGTTATTTATTAGTTAACTTTCACTGTTTTATTCCGCTAATTCATTTTTTATTAAATAGTTTCTTGTTTCTCTGATTATGTTGTGCAGCCTGATTCATTTTTCTTCAATGTTCTTCCTTTTGCCGAGGATGTGCGAGAGTTTCAATTTCCTTCCTTCACTAACTATCCAGCATCGTGTCAACCAAACAGACAACAACTAGAATCAGCTGCTAACTTCATAAAAATGCTTGATCTTGCACCAGATGGGGAGAAAGAAGTTTTGCTACCTGACTTTACACCAAATCCAGTACTGGCGGTAAATATTCTATCTACTTATGTATTTCAATATTTCGTTTTCCTTCCGTTTTTAATCTTTAGAAGGGTTTAGGAATTTTGTCTTATGATTGTTACTTGATCTACGAATCTGCATTTAGCATGCCCCATTAGTTATAGTTAATACTGGATGCAGTATGGTTTGGAGAGATTATGGGCCCGTTTGTTTTGGGTTTTAAAAAAAATGATTTTTATAGTATAACATATTTTTGTGTAAAGAAACTTTTCATACAAGTTTCAAATGAAAATAATGATTTTTATAGTATAACATATTTTTGTGTAAAGAAACTTTTCATACAAGTTTCAAATGAAAATTTGGTTTGAATAGTTATTCTTAAAATGTTATTTTAGGTATTTTATTATTTTATCGAAACATTTTTTAGATGTCAAAATTCCAAAAAATCACTTAATTTTGAAGCTATTTCAAATGACTTTTCATCAAAATCATTTTTGAAATACGACTTTTTGAAAAAACTGCGATTTCGATTATATTTTGATCTACAATAATATATGCTTATGTTATAGGATGTCAAAATTAGTCTTTCAATTTATAAAAAACGAATATAAAAAAACTTGTAATATTTTGAAAAACGATTTTATAAAATCCGTTTTTGAAAATACAAATAAAAAATCCATTTTTTTAAAGCTGAAACAAACAGGCCCTATGCTTAATGCCTTAATCCTTTCTAACTAACTCCCAAAAATTAAAAATAGCGATAAGCTAAAGCTAACTTGTATATTGATATATCTTTTCAGCGCTTTTATCATTATCTTGATCTGAAGTCAAAGCATCCAGATGCTGCGGTACCTCCTCTCGACTACACACTCCGAAAAATTACAGAGCCTGAGACCGACCTTGTTTTACAAAACCAATCTGTCATTGACTCATTTCGTAGGTCTTTTGAGCTGCAGGGAAATCCCTTGGTAAGAATGAGTCCTCAGCTTAGCTCCTAGAAGAGTAATCATTACTAACTTTAGATGTGTTTTACATTCGAAATATCTCACTACAGAAAAAGCCAAAGCGTTCATTGCGAGAAAAGATAAACAATGAAGAGGGTAAAGAAAACATTACAGCCCCGCCTGCAAATCTCATTGAATACACATCTATTAAAGTTGAGAAAATCGGGGATTCAACTCCGGTCCAAGATTTTGAAGCCATGATTTCACGCCGAGACAGTCCAGACTGGGTTCTAAAAGCCATCAACGATATGAAAAATAAAATATTTGATATGGTAGAGGATTCACATGAAGGTGATAACTATACCAAAGCAGTCGAGTGTTTAGTTGCGCTTCGCAAGGGTTGCATCCTCGAGCAGGTAATCTTCCTATTTCACTTCTAATCAGTGTTGTCAAATAGCGGTGTTATATTATACCGCTATGACGTAGCAGAATTTGAACAAATTGCTATTATTATGTGATACACTATTTAGTAAAGAAGTGTTGTTAAATAACGGTGTAATCCGTGTCTGACAACACCGCTTCTATCTGTTATCTTATCCTATTTGAATTTGTTTGTTAAATTGTTGTATACTTGTTTGTATTTGAGGTTTATGGTAGCTTGTTGAGTTGACAAACTTATTCTGTGAAGGAACCGAACCAATTCAACAATTTCCTTAAACATCTTTGCAATTTCTGCAAAGAGAAAAACCTTCAAAGTTTCTGTGAATATCTTGCTACTAAGAGAGTCACTTTGATTCCCAAAACAGAAGCTATAGACAGGTTTCTTCATGAACTCTTATTTATGATTCAATTCATTTTAGTTTTGATTTTTATCTTTACCATATCATAACATATAATTGTATTTGGTTTTACAATACAGTGATGCTACTGACGAGGAAGCCAGAAGTTTTTTGGTAAAATCTGAGTCCAAAAGTGATTAATTTAATTCCCTTGTTTATGTTGAAATATCCGAGGGCTTCATTTTTATGGAATATATTGTAAATATTATTTGTAATCACCTTAGATTAGATTCTGACATCTGATTTCGTTGATGAAAAAAAATTAAAATCTGCTGAGCTTGAATTTCACTGGCATATGTACTTTTCATACAAGAAATGCACTCTAGTTTAAGATAAAGATTATATTGCTAGTATATTCTCTACTCTTAATTCATTTCTTGTGATTCGGTCCTTTTTTTAAAGTTTTTTTTTATAAATTTGTTGTCTCGTAAATTGATAGTTTTTTTGTTGTTAAAATATACTTTTAATCCCTACAAAATTGTGAATTTTTTAATTTAGTCCCTAAATTTTTTAATTCAATTTTAGTTTTTTTTTTGTTGCTTTTATAGGATTAAATGTAGGGATTGAAATAACTTTTTTTTGTACTAAATTTAAAAAGTTGGAATTTTACATGGATTTTTTTTTAATGTTTTATGATAGATATGTTGATTAATAGTATTATTAAAAATTTAAAAGTTATAGCCAGACAATCAAATATGATAATACTCCAGTCGACCTACGAGAATCTTCAAGATTTTGTTCTTTAGAAAAGGCACATTGAGTTGATGCAAGGCAAGGTGATGAAATTAAAGAAGAAGAAAGAAAATGATAAATGATAGAAGCTGCTACAAATGATTGAAAGGGATTGAATTAATTTTAATGAAATCTACACTTATTTATACACAAAAATAGTAAAGATAAGAATGTCACATATGCCTTAAGAGAGAATATTCTAAATATAGCAAATACTAAATTATCCCTTTAATACCATCTCTTAATTTAGTATCTATCAGAAACTAACAACATCAATTTCATTCCCCAAATAAAGAAATTGGTCTGTTTTGATTGCATTCGTCAGAACATCTGTTAGTTGTTTCTGGGTGTTACAGTGCAAAACTTCTAACACTCCTTTATGCACTTGATTTCTCAGAAAATGATACTTCGTCTCAATATGCTTGCTTTTTCCATGCAACACTGGATTTTTGGCAAAATTGATTGCAGACTCGTTATCAATCAACAACTTCAGAGGTTTCTCTATCTCAATCTTCAAATCTTTCAGAAGATTCAGAAGTCAAACAGCTTGACATGCAGCTACAACACCTGGAATGTATTCAGCTTCACACGTTGACAGAGCCACAACAGGCTGTTTCTTGGAACTCCAAAAAATAAGATTTCCCAGAAACTTGAACAAGTAACCAGAAGTACTTCTTCTGTCAACTCTATCTCCACACCAGTCAGAATCAGAATAACTCACTAATTCTGGTTCTGTCTTTCTTCCAGAAAGAAATAACACTCAATATTTCAGAGTTTCTTTGATATACCTTAGAATCTTGACAGCAACTTAGTAATGAGACCACTTTGATTTACTCATGAATCTGCTAACCATTTCAACTGCATAGCAAATGTCAGGTCTGGTATTACACAAGTACCTGAGAGAACCAACCAACTGTTTGAAGGCCGTAGCATCCACAAAATCACCATCAGAATCATAATCCAATTTATGATTGGTTTTTGATGGTGTCACAACAACTTTACAATTCTGCAACTTAAATCTCTTCAGAAGTTCAAGTTCAACTTCAGCTGATGTAGAATGATACCCTTCTTTGAGTACAAAATCTTCATTCCTAGAAAATATACGATATTTTTCAGATCTGTCATCTCAAATTCATTCATCAGAACTTCTTTGAACTTGATTATATCTTCTGGACAACTTCCTGTTAGCAATATGTCATCAACATATAGACACACCAGAATTATAATGCCACCAGAGTGCTACACATACACGCCATATTCCATCTCACATTTCTGAAACTTCTGCCTCTTGAAAAACGAATCAATTTTCAGATTCCAAGCTCTGGGCGCTTATTTCAGTCCATACAAGACTTTATGTAACTTGTATACCATTCCTTCCTGATTCTTTTCACAAATCCAGGAGGTTGTGACACATATACCTCTTCTTGTAACAGACCATTCAGAAATGCAGACTTCACATTCAAATATATCAAAGGCCAATTTCTGTTTGCAGCTAAAGCAATCACCAGTCTGATTGTTTCATGTCTAGCTACAGGCGCAAATACCTCAAAGTAATCTAGCCCATGTTTCTGAAGAAAACCTCTAACCACTAGTCTCGCTTTGTGTTTGCCAATTGATCCATCCGGATTAAACTTCACCTTGAAAACCCATCTGAAGCTGATGGCTTTCTTCTTTTCTGGAAGCTTTGTCAACTTCCAAGTTTTGTTTCTTTCAATAGCCTCAAGTTCTTCCTTCATGGCATTCAACCATACTTTCTTCTTGAGAGCTTCTTCAATACCCACTGATTCAGAATCTACTAACATGGCACACTGAACGACTTCTCCTTCAGAATCTACTTCAATGTCATGCAACATGTCAAAATCTACAAACCTACTTAGTATTTGTCTGATTCTCTGTGGCCTCTGAACTTTTTCTGAAACTTCTCCAGAACTTGGAACAATGCTAGCTTCTGGACCTTGTTCAGAACTACTTCCTTCAGAATTACTACCTTCAGAGTTACTTCTGGAAGTTTGTTCTCCAGACCCTATGTCTTCAGAGTTTTTCCTTTCAGAAATATAATCACCACCATATTCCGGATCATCATCAGAATCTGGATCAGAATCAGATCCACTATCAGAATATCCCTGAGATTCTGACTCATCTCCAGAGTCTTCAGAATCAGATTCATCTTCTGACTCTGACTCGTCTTCAGAACTTTCTGAAGAATCTTCAGAAACTAACTCTGGTGTTGGCGCTACACCAGAATCTGATTGAGGCTTGTTCCAATCCCATGTTTCTGACTCTTTCACAATAACATCTCTGCTGATTTCAACTTTGTTAGTTTTTGGACAATAAAGCTTATATGCACCTATTGTGGTATCCCACCAATAACATTACTTTGCTTCTATCATCCGGTTTCCGTCTTCTAGCTTCTGAAACATGTTTGTAGCATACAAAACCAAACACCCTCAAATGGCTAACACTTTGCTTATCTCCAACCCACTTTTCTAAAGTGAAATTCTGGCTGCAGATACTCAATGTCACGTTCAATGTTATGACACCGTATCTGACTTACTATATGACAGTAAATACAAAAGCAATAAAGAACACAGTCAATTGTTTACCCAGTTCAGTGTGCAACAACACCTACTCTGGGGGCTACCAAGCCAGGGAGGAAATCCACTATAAGAGATTTTAATTCAGGAATAAACCAACCAGTTTATCTCCTTCACTTAAGACCTACCCAATGCAATTCCAATCTAAGTACAACTTAAACCTGAGTTCCTACTCACTCCCCCTCAATCACAGCAGTGATACATAAACCAATTTGACTTAAGAATTGATGAAGACACTCTTCAAAAACAAACACTTGATTAAGCTTCACAGCTTTTTAATCAAGCAACACAATCACTCGTGCTTCACAGCTTTGAGTGATGCACACAACTAACTTGACTCTGCTTCACAGCTTTAGTCAAGGAACATTCAAACACTCTTGCTTCAAAGCTTTGAGTGCTACACAACCCTTACAATTAGAAACCTATTCCAAGGCACTTATCACAATGATAATTGCTTGGAGTACAATAATCAAATCTATACAGATTACAAATGATCTTCTGATCAATCAAGAGGGATCGGTTGAAAAACAGCAGCTCTGTTGAATATATAGCAGCTGCAACTTCAGTTAGGGTTTCCACAAAAACTTAGGGTTAATTCCGTTTGACCTAAAGACCAGGTCACAAGACTTTATTAACCAGGTTAGGGTTGAGCTAGGTTACCCCTCAGAAAACGCAGGATTCTGTTCAGGAAAGACTGAGTTATTTCCTGAAAAAACTCAGACTTATCCATCCTACAAACCTGTTAGTTCAGAACAGGATGTCATAACATCTGTTATGACATCTGAGAAAACCTGTCTACTGATTTAGCAAAATGTGATCATTTTGCAAAATGCTCAGATACACACTTATAAACATCAGTACTTCAATTACAATATTTTTCTGCAAAGGTACCTAATGAGTCAGTACAAACTGAACTAGAATGTTATGACATCAGTCATGACATTCACACACACACTTGGGATTTACCAAAAATGCAAGCCAATACCTAAACACCTACAAACTCCCCCTTTGGCAGATTTTTGGCTAAAGACCCTAAGCAATCAGAGATAGATAGCAGCAGAAATAAGTGACAGCAGAAAAATAGAATGTCAAGTACTAATTAAGTAAGTACCAAAATATTCTCCCCCTCTTTAGCCACAAATGGGCCAAAGATACATGTTCATAAAATTATACAGTTATCCAAAACAAAATAATAAGAGCAGCAGCAGAAAACAACTGAATACACTTCCAAACTCCACCAGATATCAGCAACCAACCTTCAAGCACTGTCATCAGATCCAGAGGATTCAGGCTTCTTTCTTTTCTTGTGAGCAATGTCAACATTCTTCTCTTTGTTTGATGTCTCAACATTCTTAGAGACATCTGGATTTGGTTCAGCATTTGAGCTTTCTTGGTTCAGAGGAACAGAAATGCCAGGAACTGAGTGGTTCTCGTTCAGAATTCTTGAAACAATTTTTGCTATTGCTTGATTAACATAGGCTGTCCCTTCCCTATTTGCAATTTCAGGGGGAACTGAAGAAGAAGGATGAGATGGATTACCAGAGGCAGAAGCTTGGGGCTTTCCTGCATGTCTTGTTCTCAACTCTTTGACCTTGGTGGGGTTAGTTCCCACTTTTCTACGAGAAGAGATCTCCAGAACGTCAGAGTCCAGACAAGAAGAGATTGTCCCAGAATCTTGATCAGAGGAAGAGGTTGAAATAGTCGTATTGGATGATGATGGTGTTTGAGACATTTTGACAGTTTTAGAGGACCAACAACAACTGAGGAGAAATTTCTGATTGAGAGACTGGGTTTTGATGAGGAGACGAGAGAGGA